AACATACGGGTCAAATTGACGAAAACAGGCTGAACATACGGGTCAAATTGACGCAAACGTCGCTGAACATACGGAGTAAATTGACGAAAACTGAACATACGGGTCAAATCGACGAAAACAGGCTGAACATACGGGTCAAATTGACGCAAAAGTGGCTGAACATACGGGTCAAATTGACGAAAAGTGGCTGAACATACGGAGTAAATTGACGAAAACTGGCTGAACAGACGGGTCAAAATGGACGAAAAGTGGCTGAACATTTAAATATATGTACATATATATATATATATATAGATATAGGTAAAGAGGGTTTAGGGTTCAGGGTTTAGGGAAAAGGGTTTAGGGTTCAGGGTTTGTGGCGGTTTAAGGGTTTAGGAGAGACCGGAGAGTCTGGTCACAAGGGTTTAGGGCTAGGGTTTAGGGCTAGAGGGATGCGGCAGTTTAGGGGTCAGGGCTAGGGTTTAGGGGTTTAGGGATTTAGCAGTTTAGGGGTTTAGGGTTTACGGGTTTAGGGTTTAGGCTTACTAGGGGTTTGGGTTCGGGGGTTTAGGTCCAGCTTTAGTCCGGGAACATCGTCTGGGGATATCTAGAGGTTTAGAGTTTAGGGTTTGAGGGTTTAGGGGTTCAGGGTTTCAGGGTTGAAGGGTTTAGCAGTTTAGGAGTTTAGGGTTTAGGGGGCTTCGGGTTTAGTGTTTTAGGGTTTAGGGGTCAGGATTTATGCATTCGGTCCTGCGTACTGGCACGAAGCGAGACACTTGGCGACTAAATGGATGCCGATTAAAACCCTAAACCCAAAACCCAAAACCCTAAACCCTAAATTAAGAATGAACTCGAGTCAGGTTGAGGATTTCGGCTTTTCGGGGTTTAGCAGTTCAGGCACAGGGGTTTGCGTTTAGGGTCACTGAAAGCTTAGGAGCATTCAGGGGTTTAGGTTCGGGTTTAAAGTCTAGGGGTGCAGAGTTTGGGGTTTAAGGGTTTAGGGTTTGGGGGTTTAGGCGTTCAGGGTTTCCGGGTTTAGGAGTTTAAGTCTTTAGGGTTTAGGGGGTTTTAGGGTTTTGGGTTTAAAGGTTTAGGCTTTAGGGTTTAGGACGTACACAACACAATCCCATGCTGAAAAGGGTCTAGGACTTTTGGGGCGGGTTTCCTACACCGCCATAAAACCCTAATCCATCCTCCACTCACCTACCGCTGCTCATCAAGACGTCGCCGTAGCCCTAGTCTAGTACAACTGAAAGCCCCGAGCCTGAAGCATCTATACCTGGAAGCCCTTCACCCATGTACCGTACATTTGCCAAGGACTCTTCAGGATTCGAAACCAATGTCCGGGCATCGAGCTCAAAAGCCGAAGCCTGAATCAGGCACTAAACCCTGAACCCAAAACTAATCAGGCCCTGAACCCTAGACTCAAAACTAATCAGTCCCTAAACCCTAAACCCCAAACTGAAGCAGTTCCGCTCCTCCACTTTTTTTGGGTCCTTCCCTGGCAGAGGCGAGCGAGCTGTGTGACGCCCAATGGCCCTCGTTTCTCGGGGTTTAGAGCTAAGCGAGCCATTGCTACTTTTAATGATATAAATGGTGCATTACCTTAAGGACCCTGAACTATGGGAATTAGGGTATATTCCTGTCATGGGTAATGCAGGATTTATATCATCAGCCGTAGTTAGTGCTTCCAGGGTTATACCCTACAATTACGGTGTCATAGATTCTGGAGGGTTTGGTGAAACCCGACTCCCCGAACCCCATCGTGCTATATGCTGATGCAAGCATGCGATTACTCCTAGCACCAATCTCCGTCTCTATCCCTGAGTTGTAAGGGGCGCCCATAGTACACACATCTAACGCCCTGAACCCGATACGCAGGAGCCAAGCTTTCGTGGTTTTGGGCAGGGGAAACATGGGCTACTCGGCTACTCTAGCGGCAGGGGATTAAGCGATGGGTGATGCAGGGTCTGACGTATAGGGTATCGGAGCTACAAGTTGAAGCAGGAAGTAGCATGCTCGTTCTTTCTGTCATTACAATGTTTACGACCACAACCCTTAGAGCTTTAGGCATCACATGTCTGCGTCTCATGCTTAGCTCACTGCGTGTTCCTAGCTGAGCTCTCTCGCGTCAGCGGGATCACAAACGAGTGCCTGGCGGCTTCGAAAGGCCGTGCGCTGCTGTCAACAAGGCCTGAGGCCTAAGCCCCCTTGCATAAACTCTGGAACTCTGAACCCAAAGCCAAGCATGAGCCTGCAGGCATGGACGGTGGCATGTTTCGTTCGCACCTCCAGCACGCACCGAGAAAGCCACACCGGGCCAGATACCGCATTGACAGACCTGGGGTCCATCCTTTCAGAGGTAGAATGTATGATTCAAACCCAATCAGACCAATTCAGACACTTTGTCTTCTCCAGCATGATTGCATGAAACCCTGTCGACTAGATGCAGGAGCTTGAGCAGAGAAGCGGGTTGTGGAATTTGGGCCTGTTACCTGTTAACACCATCGCCGAGTCCCTACAAACAGTAAGTATACCGAGTCGTCTTTATGTCAAAGCTTGGAATTCATGTTCATGTTAAAATTGGTGTAAATGCCACGGTGGCTTTCAATGTAATTGTCCTCCCTGTCCCTTAGCCCTCACTATTCCGAGACCCTCTCGCAACACCCTGAACTGAGCCAAGAAGTATCAGTCCTAAACCCTAAACCCTAAACCCTAAGCTTTTGCCGTCCCAAAAGAAGCCCTCCATGTCTCCTGCGATGGCCACGGATGTTGCCGAAGGCTTGCTGTGGTACAAGCAGTCGTTCTGTACTCTAGGGGCCTAAAAAAACTACCTATACTATTTTGGGGTTCAGTATTACAGGAATTATGGTATAACATTCTGGAGAATCTGAATTTTAGTTGAACACTACGGAAACACAACATTGTAGTGAGTAAGTCCCCTATATTACGGGCTTTTGTTCTGGGGCTTACTGCTTGCAGTCGTGGCTTCGGTGCGCATAAGCTTGGGGTTTAGGGTTGAGGGTTTAGGGTGTAGGGTTGAAGGTTTAGGGTTGAGGGTTTAGGGCATCGCTTGGCGACACCGCTGCTGATCTAACTTATCTCATAACCACCTGATGGAAGACTTCCACCCATACATCTCCAGGTGGAGAATAGGCTTTGGGATGTCCTTAAACCTTAAACCCTTCTGAAACCCTAATAGCAGAGGGGAAAAGGGCTGATAACAACAACCCTCAGTTTAACTGAACAGGCTTAGGCTGCGGCTTCGGTACATTATAGCAGAGTTATAGCACAACTCAAGAATAATACCTCATAGTCATACACGGTTCTACAGTAGATGGAGATGAAGAAGGCATTAGGGCTGATCAGGGCAACATAGTGGTTCATAGGTTGTTTGTGTATCTGGGATTTGAAAGCCCTGGACCCTAAACCGCAAACCTCAAACCCTTTCCGAGTCCTCGCCTGGATTGTCCGGGTTGTGAGAGTGTAACCCCTAAACCCTAAACCCTAGAGGGAAACAACCCCAAACACTACTTGGAGGGTCGGCGGACTTAGTAACTAGTTATTTTATAGACTTATAAGTACCAGAACCCCAATTAGGATCCCTTTTAGGGTACTGGTAACTCTACTTAGTCTCTACTTACTAAGTCCCCCGACCCGCCAAGTAGACCTTTACCGTCCGTGGCGAAAAGTCTGGAAGATTTGCAGCCCGGGCTTGCCCGTAGCCATGAGACCCAGAGACCCCAATGCCCCTTAATGAAGGAACATGGCCTTAAATCAGGGTTCCTTTAAGGGCTCCTTTAAGAGGGGTTTATAGGGGTTTGTATAGGGCCCCTTCACCACTTAAGGAATATACCTGAAAGTATAAGGGGCTTCATATCATGATTCTAGCCGTTTTCCTCAACTAAAAGGGAACTGGGCGCTCTGGAGAGTGAGGCAATAAGAACATAGTCGTAGCAACAAAAGTGCCAGTGGCAAGAGCAGTGACTATTCCCAACATCAAGAACGCGACTCACTTTTCTACCCGCCGCACCCATCACAATAACGACAACAATGAGAAGAAGCAGGAGGCCAGCAAAGGCAAGAACATGAGTTGTACCAGGTCCGGGGTCCTTGCCGATGTCACTGACCGTTGAGGTGAGCCTTATAAGTGGCAAGACTATCTCCTTGGAGGCCGCCGGGACTGAATCCGTGGAGTCCCTGCGGCTGCGGGCGCAGAGAGCCCTGGGAGTTGGCAAAGGTCGGCTCTTGAACTCAGCTGGAGCTGTACTGGATGGGAAACTGGGCTCTTGTTAAGGAGTTGGTTTTAAGTTACTATAGTAAAGAAACCATCTAATTTACTATGGATCCTTATTATGGTAACTAAATCCCTTAACAAGAGCACAGGAAAGCTTCACTCGAGGGGGCCATGCTTCAGACCGGGGAGGCCTTGACTTTCCAGATTCGGACCGTGCAGCTCTGCGGTGGATCGTTGGCTATGAGTGCGATACTGGGTGACGGATCCGTCGTGACTTGGGGTGGCTTAGGGGCTGACGGTAATACTCTGCGAGAGGAGCTGAAGAACGTGCATAGCATCCAGGCAACCAGCATGGCCTTCGCAGCGATCTTGGATGATGGCTCCGTTGTGTGCTGGGGCATTGCTAACCGTGGCGGTGATAGCAGCTCTGTGCAAGATCAGCTCAATAATGTGAAGCAGATTCAGGCAACAAAGGGAGCATTTGCTGCGATGCTAGACGATGGGTCCGTCGTCACTTGGGGGAGTGATTTTCTTGGTGGTAACAGCAGTGGTGTACGAGATCTGCTGA